GTCCTGCTGTGAGGGCAGCAGCAGCACATGGGGTCCCCATATTTTTCTGTGGCTTTTGTTTGAAACAGTATAGCAGCAAATGCACAGAGAAACATAGAGTGAGGTCCAGATGCTGCTTTTTCTAGTTTCAGAGAATATAATCAGACCTGAAAGGAACAAGTACACCCAGCTGGAGCTGGTTATCAATTTATTTACCCAGTCAACCTTGGGGAGCTTCAAACCTTTTCCAGCACTGATACTACATAAATTTGTTTCAAGGGATGATGTTCTTTGGACTGGTGGTGGTTAGGGTTAAATGATGTCTTTCTCTGACGTAACTCCTGATTGGTATGTATGGGTTGGAGGTAGAAGGGAATATGATGTGAATAAACAACACACCCAATTTCTAACAATTTTCAGTAGTGTATGTGAAAATTATTGGGTATTGTATCTACCTGGAGCTGTATATTACCTTTTCCTTTTTATATAAAACTCAGATTTCAAATAATTTAAGATTGAGCACAAGAAAGGCTTATCAGATAAATGTCTGTGTTACTCAACACATTACTTAAAAAAATAGTGAAACCTGTTTTGGAACACACAGAAAAATTCAAGGTAGTGTGAGTCTTCTTGAATAGATTTCCTCCTTTGGAGGGCATGAAGAGCAGAGCGGAGAGTACATGGAGCAGGGCTGCTCAGAGATAGCCTTTCAGATGCAGCAAGGCCAGATATAAGTCCATAGATTTGTATAATTCATGCAATATTAGAATTAAAAAGAGAGGCCATGATGGTTAGTTTTATATGTCAGCTGATCTAGGCCATGATGCCCAGCTGTTTTGTCAAACATCGGTTTGCATGTTGCTGTGAAACTATTTTTAAAGACATGATTAACATTTAAATCAACAGTCTTGAAGTAAAACAGATTTCTCTCCATAATAGGGGTGGGACTCATATAGTCAGCTGATGACCTTGAGAGAAAAAACAGGTTTCCTGAGCAGGAAGGAATTCTCTGTCCTGATTTAGCTTGGACTCAAAAGATTGTAAACACTGACTCTCACTAGAATTTCTATGCTACTCTGTATATTTGGTATTTAACCCATCCTTATAATTCCATGCACCAATTCTCTAAAAAAAAAAGAAAAAAATATATGTATATACTAGCTATTTAATATAGTCCTCTTCTCTTAGTTACTTTTAAAGAGTATGTGAATTGGTAGCTCCTTTAGAAACCAGGTTGACTCAGCAGTCTTTTCTCTTTCATCATAGCTGATACAGAAATTGCTTGCTGTAAAAGGCCTCAGTTTCTTGCATGAAATCACATTTCTTTTTGCTCTTTCAACCCAACCCTGCTGTTCATGTAGGGGTTAGGTTGATTTTCCATTGCAAATTTCTAATCATTCACTTTTTTGTAGATTATTAGAGGTGGGAGTTCCCTTGAGGATCAAATTATTGCAGTTTTTTTTATAGATAAGAAAACAGAAGCTAAGAGAGATAGTCACAACGGGAAGATTAGACTTGAACTTCCTGAATGTCCATTAGTAATCCACTGGCTCAGAACTTCCTCTTCTTTTATCATTCTTCAATTCAGTTGCCTCTTTTCCCTAAAGTGGGTCTTCTCCCTTGATATTACCATTTTTTTTGTGTGTGGCAGGTATATCTGGCTTTCACCTCCTATAGGCTGACCTATTACTTATAAATCTCCTCTCATCTATATCAGAGATTTTCCACTTTCTTGTGGCACCAACTCACCCAAGAGTCAACTTTCTAAACTGTCTTGGTCCACTCCTCCTTAGAGGACCAATTATTGGGAAGACAAATGAAACTATTGTTTGAAAAGAATACATTAAAGGTACAAAATTTTGATTTTTTCCCACATGCCATTTGTAGTAGCTTTTCAGATTTCCCTGTTATCCTGAACTTGAAATTTCATCTATCAGATAGGGTTTTTGGTAATTTTCCTGAGCCACAGATGTATCTGAGTTCCAGATTCTATTTTCAGTTGTACACTCAGTTTAGTTCACTTTGAAGAATACTCTCTATGCCCTGTATTTATAGCAATAAAATCAGAATGCAAATTTATAGAGAAATTCAATCAATGATGACACATTGGCGGTTTCCACCTTTTCTCATCTGGCAACACTTCCAGTTGTAGCCGGGACTTTCACTCCTCCCCAGGAAGCCATGTTTAGCACTTCACCACTCTGCTGAGCCTCTGACCCTACCTTCTTCTCTGTCATAGAATACAAAAGCAGCCATATATGAATTGTTTTTCCTCTCTCCAATGAACTTCAGAAACATCATCTGCAGTTTTCTCTCTCCTGTGTTAAAGCCTGAGGTGAGCCTAAATGCTTCGAAGACAAGCCATTCTAGGAGAAAGGGGGGATTATCTTGCTCCTTCTCCTTTATTCCTTTGATTATTGCTACCTCTTTATCCTTGGCCTTTCCAAAACATGTCTGCTTACTATTTATTTTCAAGCACTTTCCAAATTTTGAAAAAATAACCTTAAGCTGAGATGCTTAGAAGATCACATTTGAAGTCCTCTAACCTACTGTAACATCAATGCATTGTGGTCCACTTCTACTCTAATAAAACTGCTAAGTCCTGGGTGCTAAATTGGGGACACTTCAATCCTGGATAAAACAACAAAAGCCCCAATCAGCAAAATCCTTTTTATTGAACAAAATCATCTTGTTGGCTTCTGTGTCCCTCCAAGACCCAAAACCTTATGGGGGCTGATGGAGCCCCTGACACATAATTCTTTGATGACAACTGACATGAAAAATATGTGTATGCCAGATGTATACCAAGGCTTTGGATGCTGAGCAGTAGGGATTTGGTTTTTATTCTGTAAGCAATGGTATTTTTCCTTAAAAGATCTTTGAGCAGAGCAGCAGTACAGCTATTCCTCCTTTCACGGCCTGCTTAATGACTCTTTGGACTTAGGACCACTGCTCAGACTTATGACCCGTAGTTTCCTTTAATAGAGTTTTATACATCTTGTTTATAGAGCCTCAATGTCTTTTTGTACATAAACCTTTACTTATAATTTTTGCTGATTGTACTGTACCACACTATAGTTTTATGTTACACATTACAGTACAGCATGTATGATATACAAGTAAAAGCAGTCATCAAGTTGGAGTTTCCTTTGATTTCTTCTGAATACTGTGATGTACATACCATACAGAGTTCCTCATTTTGCAATCAGTTCATTTAACAACTCAGCCATGCTAAGGAAATTCAGAGCTCAGTAGTGCAATGAACAATGTTTGCATTATCATACTCTTGGGAAGTAAATGTGCAACATTTATTTGAAGTGGCTGTTTGCTAAGTGCTTAGTGCACATCAGCATCACCTGGTAATGTTAGATGATTTCTTGAGGGCCACCCTTGCCCTACTGATTGAGAAACTGGAGGAAGCCCTGACATGATGAAACTCAAAATTCGGAGTCACTGGTTTGGAAGAGAAATGGAGAACAAGAAAGTGATTTATTAAAGGCTTGAAATAGATATGGAGGTAACTGGTCACTGGGTGAGGGAGTGAAGCATTCTGCAGGATAGCTACTGGCATTATTTAGATCACCTTTGAAAATTAACTTCTTTTAAAAAGCTTTTTACAGGGGCTGGGGATTTAGCTCAGCGGCATAAGCGCCTGCCTAGCAAGCGCTAAGTTATGAGTTCGATCCCAGGTACCAAAAAATAAAAATAAAAAATAAAATAAAAGCTCTTTACAAACCAAAATAAAAGAAAAACATACACTCGGTCTCTCCTCTCTGGGAAAAAGCAAAAAGCAAACAAACAAACAAAAAACCCTCTACAACTCAGACCATTAGATTTTGAAGTGTTTCGTGACTGTTAAATTCATCCAGCATAATACTAAATGTTTTAATTTTCAGACACTATTTTGTAATCTGCCTCTGATCTTTGAACTGTCTTTATTTCCTAGTTTTAAATTACCACAAAAATATTACTTTTAAAAGTCATTCATAAAAAGGGTAATTATTCACATTCATAATACTAACTACAAGTGATTCTCAATTATTTTATTTTCCTAATTCAAATATTTTTAAAAAGTCAATATAAAAATAACCCTTACAGTTTTAGTCTTACTAGTTCACACTTGAAGATGCCAATGTCCATGAACAGGTGAAGGGATAGATTGCAATACATTCATACAATAAAACACCAGGCAGTAAAAAAAAAAGGGAACTATTATTCCTTGAGTAACATGAACTCCAAAAGCATAGAGTTGAGTGCAAAAGCCAGAGACTAGTACATACTTTTGAGTACTCATAAAATTCTAGGGCAGGCACAACCAAGTTATAGTAACGGAGCTCAGAAGAGTGAGTGGAAAGATGAGAAACAGAGACTGGAAAGGTCAAAGGGAATAATGATTATATAGCTGTTTACCTGTTAAAATTCAGGCCAGTGTACTTACTATACATAAAGTATACACCTATTCGTTTAGCAGTGCTGAGGATTGAACCCAAGTCCTTCATGATTGTAGGTCCTCTGTCATGTAGCTTTACCTCCAGGCTTATAACTCAGCTTAAAAAACTGTACATACCTCCAGTAAGTCACAGGGAACTTATTTCTAGCATCTGGACTCTGGGGGCAATGGGAATATTAAATGTCAAAGATGATGTAAAAATTTCACACAGAATTACTATATCCCTCCCCCCGCCACCCGTGCTGGGGAGCAAACCCATTTGTGGCCTTGCACATTTAGGCAAGTACTCTACCCTGAGTTGTATTTTCAGCATGACAATTATTTTTTGTGTTCTTAATGTTTTGAGATTAGATCTCATTATTTAGTTTAGGTTGGCCTTGAAATCCCTATGTAGCCCAGACTGGCTATAGCGATATTCTGGCTTTAGCCCAGAGTGCTGGGATTACAGGAGTACACCACTGTACCTAGTAAGACAATTATTATACCCCTAAACCTGCAAAACAAACCATCAACGTAGGTCAGTCGTTAAAATGTGAAGGAACTCTTACAAACACCCAATGAAGCTAGCAGGTTAACAAAAATATTTATTTTATTGTTGTAAAATTAAAAATAGTAGACAAGCATATATTGTTACAGTTCTAAAGCAGAATACAAATATATAAATTATTGCAGTTTCCAAAGAAAATATAAGTGAATGTCTAAATAAACTTTTTTGAAACAAACTTAGTTTTTATCACAGCAGTTTCATTTTTTTTACCAGATGTCTCAGCACAATTTTGTAACATAAATTTCTAACACTAAAAAGGATTAAGTTCAACGACCAAAGCACATGCTACTTACACTGAAAAGAAATCACACACACACACACGCACACACGCACACACGCACACACGCACACACACACACTCATTGTTTTAGGGGCAGGTAAAACTCATTTCCATGATTTTTTTTTGGTTACATCTTAGTAAGTTTAAAGTTATGGGATAATTTACAATCACTAAAATTAATTACTAATATGGGCTCTTTTAAACCAAATGTAATAGTGAAATTATATGTTCTAAACCAGAACGTCATGGATGGTAGGCAAGCAACTCCTTCCCAATTTCTAGGGCTAGAGACTACTGTAATGTTTTGCAAAAAGCTAACATAGCCTGAAGGCCACAATGCACCATTACAATGGCAAATGTGGAAGGATGAAATAAAATGAAAACGCTAAGCCATAAAACAGAGCTCCGACATCCCAGTCACTGGAGCCTTCCTCCTTTGTGCCATAGCCTTATCACCTTATTCTGGTACATACACTCCTTTATTCCATCACTACAAACATTAACTTGGCAAAAGTAACTTGTTGAGGGTTTTATCTCTAACTAATTTTCTTATATTATCAATTCCACCAAGCTAAAGTTAAAAATGCACTTATATACAGAAATCAATTATCTTTGCTTCACAGTCACATCTGAAAAGACATTTTAAAAAATTTATAGAGTATTAATTCTCTTAGTATTTAAAAAGACTCAATTGTTTTACTTTAATATAAGCAATAATACCTGTCAGTAAGTGAACTGGCAGAAGTTAGAAAAAATAACACCAGAAGACTTTAACACTGTACCATTTAAAAATTTTTATGGACATGTATCCTACTTTTATGGTTACTAACTAGAACCTAATAATAAGCTACACAAATAATTTAATTTTTAAAAATCCCTATTTAAATTTAGAGCATATGCATTTTGTATGGCATTTTACAGTGTTAATAATGAAAGATTTTCTCTACAATGAAACAAAATAAAAAGTAGTAAACAATAAACACAAATCAATTTTAAAAAATGTTAGTTTAAAAAACTAGCAAAAATTGTAAGCCTCAACAAAGTAGACACCACGGTAAACTATGCATAAAGGCAAAAAAACAACAAAGTAATTGAAACCATTTTCAGTGGCAAAGGAGATGATTAAACATAAAAATAAAACTGAGGCAGGCAGGGTGGTATACAGTTGTAATCCCAGCACTCTGGAAAGCTGAGGCAAGACGGTTTCCAGATTCAAGCCAACCCTGTGCAACTTAGGGACTCAGTGATATCCTCCCTCAAAAATAAAAAAGATAAATTAAAAAAAACAAAACAAAACAAAAAAAACCCAAAAGGGCTGGAGATAGAGCTCTGTGTGAAAGTCCTGGACTGAATCCCCAGTACCATAAGCAAATTAAAAACAACAACAACAACAACAACAAAAAAAACGCAAGCTAAAAATGTCTATTGAGATGACAAACAAAAAAACCAGAATATACTTCATTTCTGAAACCACTTGCAAACATGAACTTGTTATTTTAAATATAAACCTTAAATGTATATAAAAAGGGGCACTTTTTGGTGAATTGAACATATTTGTACTTTGGAAAAGTAAGGAGTTTTTTTTTTTTTTTTTAAACATTCTGGAAAAGATACTACATAATGGAATGAAAACATTCCATTGCCTGAATCATCTTTATTGGTGTCTCAAGTGCATACTTTTTTCAAAAGACAAATTTAGGTATTAATACTAGAATCAAAGGGTAAGATGATGATCTTAAAATAAACATAAAGTTGGACAAATTACAAACACTGTCCATTTAGTTTATGTGGTGCTGGGTATAAAACCCAGGCCTTGCATATCGTAGGTGCATAAAAAGTTTTTTTTCATCTTTAAAGATATTACATGATTAAAACTCACTCTTCATTCTGAATTTTAAAATTTAACTTTCTAAATTATGAAATCTGATGTAAAAAAAATTCAGTCTTATTTCACTTCCTATTATCCTATAAACTTTGAAAATGTTAATAATGCCCAAGTAGCAATCTGTCTTTCACCATTTCTGCCACAAATAAATTTGTCCCTGATTCTTATTTTTGCATATATAGTAATTGCATATTCAATCAAGAAAGCATAGAAATATCTAAGTTTACCAAATACTTGAATAAACTGTTGTGCAAAATACTTCAATAAAAACTTTTTTCTTTTAGAAATTCATCTGAGTAAATACTGATGTGAGTACCAGCACCACAGGATAGATTTTAGGAGGACTTTTCCTTTGAAAACAAGCTAACTAAAAGTATCTAACTTGATTAAACCACAAACCCCAATTAAGATCTGAGTACATGCACAATTCTAGTCAATTATTCCAAACTCATTTGTAAAGCTACCTGTTTGCCAGAAAAAAACTTCCAAGAGATAAGCAGATACTTTCTTTGGATAACACTATTGTATTTAGGACTGAAGCCTATCACTCATATTTTGGAAATATGCTACCACTGATAACAAATGCAATGCATCCCAAACTTTTATGATTGTTCCTAAGTTACCTAAACAAGCCCAAATGTGTGCAACAACCCTGGCTAGTAATTCTTAACACATGATGCCAAAAAAGAGTAAAGTCAATTTGAAAATGTAACTATAACAACTAAAAACTAAAATACTTAACTACATAATCAGGACATGTCTTTATCCAACTTGTACATTTGGATATTTTCACATTGCACACAATTTATAAAGCTAATCAAGACTAAGGCAAATGCATCCATCCTGCTCTCAGAATTTTAAATTCATTCTGGATGAGTCAAAGAACTGAGACAGATTAAAAGCATTTTCCAAAAGCTTCCTCTAAAACGCTTGACAGTTACATCACATTTCAAAGAAAAACAAAACAAAGTCAATGGGATATCAATTAACACCCCCAGGCTAACTTAGTAACCTTAACATTATAAAAAGTTGCTTTCAACTGGACATTTCTTTGCCTACAGAAAAACTGTGTATGTTTGAAACTAAAACTCTGACCCAAGTCAGGATAGGATACCAATTTAAGGCAGAAGTCATTTATCACTTTATGGTAAAGCTGCCAAATTTATGAGCTTTTCTGTAGATTCTTTGAGGAAAAGATATACTTCATAAGTACATTTTAAGCACCAGTTGAAAACAATTTAGAACTCATTTTAATGTTGCACTGATTATATCTTTTAATATAATACATTACTAAAAATATCTACCTGCTTAAGACTAATAAATGTTTAGAAACGTAACACTTATCCTTATTTTATTGAATTAGTTTTGTTTTTCTTGTGTCAAGCAATTTTCTCTTTCCCTGTAAAGTTTAGAAAAATAATGCTTTAAGAATTTCAATGATACTGCAAACAATTTGGGCAGTTTAAGGATTTCTGAAACTTTATCCCAAAGTGGCACAAAGAATAATTTTAATTTTTTCAAAAACAGAACATTTTCTTTTTTGGAGAGTGGAGGGGCAACATTTTCAATTGGAAGGTCAGATATATTTGACTTAAAAATGAGGCTTGACTGACTCTGTCCAAATTCTAACACATGAAAATAATAATAAATGAAAGTAAAGAGTTTTATTTTTTTTATGAGGATAAACTGACAAAGTAGTACTCTCTTCTTTAACTCAGAAATGCTTTTGTTAGACAATAATGTATTCTATTTCTTGAATACTTGCTTTAAAAGTTATTAATTTCTCTTTCATAAAGTTTTAGAAGTTAAATAACTCAACTTGATAGATTTCTACTCCAAAATACACTTATCTTTGGAAAGCAAGATAAAGGTTGTAAAAACATTCTATTATGAGAATAAAATGCAGTGATCTGAAATATGGGTGGGCATATTTACACATGAAAGTGTAAATACTCAGCCATTTAAACACATTTATGAAAAGGTACCTAAAATAGCATTTTTACATATAAAATTCTATATTAAAATATTGCTCATAATAAATAAGAGGTGATACTATGAATTCCATTTCCCTCTTAAAAACTGTCTTTAGTAGTTCAGACTAATGAGTTTGTTAAACTATTGTTTTTGACAGGTAAATTATATAAAAATGTTTCATAAAATCACACTGTAACAGTGTAAGTAGTCATTTGTGGTAAAAGGGAGGGACATGTAGTAATTATGGGAAAAAGATTCCCAAAATGAAGTCAAAGGATTTACCCTATCGAAGATTAGAATACAATGGTCTTTATTCGACAAAGATAAATACTGCCTTACAGCTTTACAAGCTTAATGATCATAAAATAATGGACTGTATCTTGCTTCACTCTTCGAAGTATACATGCTTAGCAGACCAGTTAAAGTACAGAATATATGAAGTCTATGTAAATTTAGTTCAGTTGTTTGTTCCCGTTCGTCCTACTTGCAGGCATGGTAACTTGGAACAGTTCTTGTGAAGCTGTTCAATGGCAACATGACGGCCATGGCGTTCTGATATTAAAGAATCTTTTTCTTGCACTTGATGTGTTAACTCTTCAAAAACGTCTGTAAAATTTAAAAAGCATTTCATTTTTAGTACAAGAAAACTAATCCTGTGATTTATATTGCAATGACTATGGATATACACAGTAGAAATCATCCTTAGTACTAAAATGGAGCCACCTTTTATTAGAAACTGTAGGTAGGTGTAATGAGTATTTAATATGACTTATGGACAAGGAATGCCTATCATTATGCAGGTCTGATACTCTTCTAAGAGGCCGTGGAGTCAAATTAACTGGATTTCAAATCCTAGTTCCTACTATTTTCAGTTTCTTCTTGTATATATGACTGAAGTTAGTAAAGTTAGTAAACACCTTACAGAGTTACTCAAGGATTAAATGAGATCGTATTTGTAAAGTAGACAAAAGTACTTGATAACTATAAACTGCTGTTGCTACTACTATTATTATTTTCATTATTCTCAAAGACTGTGTTTAAGAAAAGTCACTGGCTTTACAGTTAAAATGGGTAATCATCCTTGATCTGCTACTGACTGAATGCAAAATCTTTGTAAGTAATTTCAAGTTTCTGCAGAGCAATTTCCTCACCTAAATGAGAATTGTAAAGAGGAGGAAAGGAGACAACTAGGGACTTTGGACAATAACTATCAGCGTGTTAACATTATAGTTGATGCTAAGGAATTAGTAGTAGCTTTTTAAAAAAGGTGTGGTATTTAGGGTGTGATTGCTTTTTAAGAAGGTATCTCTCAGAGAAAATCTTGATGTATTTATGGACAAAACAGGAAGTTACCTGGGATCTGTTTCAAAATAATTCATACTGGAACAGGGAGAGTATGAGGAAAGTGGTTCCAGATAGAGAAAAGAAAAAATTAGCTATGCTTTTGGACAATAGCTAAGCTGGTGAAGATGAATCTAATGGTTCCACTCCTTTTCTGTATCTATAATTAAAAACAAAAAGGACAAACTAAATCAGGACTAATACTACCTGCATTAAACAACTTCCAGGAAGCTCATCTCCATAGTACCCTGAAGAGAAGTGTGAGGTAAAATATAAGAAGAGGAGAAAACTCTAGTCTCCATTTTCACTTAGGGAAGAAAAATATATTTCTATTGTAAGTCATAAAGAGGCTGTTCTCTTTTGCTCTGGGAACTAAGAAGTTCAAATATACAATTTCCAAATTTAAATGCTGCTGAAGCTAATGATGACTGGTCATCGGATGTTCTGTATCAAAATTTGCACATGTTAAAAAACACTCACGACTGATTCATTACCCTGGATCTGTTGTCGAAGCTTTGTATTCAGTTGTTTTACCTCATCAAGCGTCATTGAATTCACTGAAACATGAAAATATATTTTTGTTACCACAACAATCTGGGAAAATAAACTGCCTAATACCCTATTTAAAATAATATAACATTAAGCGATAATTGGGTATTCATTAACTCTCAGTGTGGAATTTTCATATCCTAACATACTGCCCCACAGTAAGAAACGTATTTTATGTCACTACCAGTAACACCACCAACTACAACCTGGAGCAAAGCTTGCATCAAAAACTAGTAGTATGGTAGGGGCTGGGGATTTAGCTCAGCGGCATAAGTGCCTGCCTTGCAAGCAGGCAGTCGTGAGTTCGATCCCTGGTACCGATAAAAATGAAAAAGACAAAAAAAAAAAAAAAAAAAAAAAAGAAAAACAAAAAAAAAAACCTAGTAGTATGGGGGCTGGGGATTTAGCTCAGTGGCATAAGCGCCTGCCTTGTAAGCACTTCATTGTGAGTTCGATGCCCAGTACCAATAAAAACAAACAAACAAACCAAAAAAATTAGTAGTGTGTTTGTTGGTTTCTGATATCGCCTATCCTATTTCAGGTTTTAAAAACTGGTAATCACTAGCCATCAAGCTAATTTTGATTAAACATTACACACTTTATGATCTTCAGTTTGACAACACTACTTAAAAATACTGTGGAAACTGTGTGAAAAATCATTTGTTCACCTGGTTAAGCAACCTTAGATAACTCACATGTACAATCAAGAAGCTGTATGAAAGATATTCAAGGTCTCTTTCTAGGTCTAAAACATTTTGATTTAAAGTCTATTACAATTACCTGACTTCCTATAAAATTTTATAGAAGTACATATAGACAAAATGAGCCACTTTTAAAATATTCTAAATAAATGTACACATTATCTTTTAGCCCTTAGTAAAATGTCTGATTTTTACTTTTAAATAGCATCCCCAGTCAATTAGTCCTTAGTTATTGTCAATGTGATAATGAATAAGTTGAACTTCTAAACTATTTGAACTACCAATTCAATAAAGTGATTTCATTCATGTTAAGTCATTTAAAATGGCAAAACAAGTGATAGGGATGCTAATCTTTAATGTGTAGGACACACTGAAAAGTATTCCAGAGAATGGCTAGTTTTAAGACCTCTCATTTTTGCTAAGGTGAGTTGACCATTTAAATATTATATTTAAGAAATCTGACTCTACATCAAAATTCTTGACATTACACATATAACAATGTAAAAACCACCCCCCCCTCCAAAAAAAGTCATATTTTACCTTTCTTCCCATTTTACTTACATTCCTCTCTGCTGTAACGCAGAGTCTGAGTTGGGACATTTGCCTCTGGACAAAAAGTGGCCTCTTCTTTTTTTTGTGCCTGGCCCTGAGCATGAGGCCATAAAACATTGTCATGGCATAAAGCGGCACCTGGACCTTGTAACACAGCAAGCCCAAAGTCTGTATTTTTTCTCTGCTCCAAAATTTCTTGTGTACAGTTTGAGATGCCACTAGTACTTCCATCTATCCATCTTGCAGAATATTTTGGTACTTGAGAGTCAAATTGTGGGAGTAATTTCTTATCTGGCTTATGCCTGAAATTAAATAGGTGATTCTTGGAGGTTTTAGGACATTCAGAATCTGAGTCCAGATCTTTATTTTGTGCATACTGTACAATCCAGTTTATCTTCTTACTCAAAATGGTTTTAACTCCTTCATAAGTACTTTTGGAAAGCTTGGATCGAGGACAATCTTGATTTGCAATTAAATGGTATTTTTCAAAACAGTCTTTATGGCCCCTTAATGATTTGGTATGTAGAAGACTAGATTTTGGTACTCCTATGGGGGGAGAAAAAAAAGAAATGACTTAAAATTTTGCATTCTTTTCTAAGTTGCCTAAGAATATGGAAATCTTGATAAACTGATTGTGTTGACAGTCCTTGATAGAAGAAAAATACTAAAGAACAATGACATTAATACTCTTAAAAGGTGTCCTAATGATTTGTGCTTCAATTTAACTACATGTATAGTAATATTCTTACAGATAGCAAAGAATTTCTTGAAAACTTAGTGATTCAGTTATAATTTTAGTCCAGAAACAGGTCATTGCATTCAATATGAAAAGAAATCCTACTGAGACCAAGCACAGTGACACACAACATCCATAATCCCAGCTACTTGGAGGCTGAGGCAGGAGGACTGTGACTTTGAAGTTAGACTAGACAATTTAGCAAGACCTTGTCTCAAAAAAACTTTTAAAATCCAAAAAGCATTGGAAATACAGCGCTGTGCAAAAGTAGTGGGTTTAAACACCATGGGGAGTGACTGAGCTGGAGAGAGAACACACAGTCAGAGCAAGATCAGCCCCAAGAACACAGAGTGCCAGAGGTGAGCCATGTGAACAAGTTGTTGGGACTACAGCAAGACCAGTCCAGCAGGTGTCTGGCCTTGGTGTTTCTCCCTGATAACCACAGCACAGATAGCTCTGGGAATGTTCCATTTTCAGTGTTCTCAGCAAAACACTGAGACCTTGCTAACCTTTAATGCTAACCTTTTGGCTCTGTCACGTACTTCCCCCCCTTTTACTGTGTATAAATAAAGACGCAGACCATGCTGGGCCATTGCTGCCTCTCTGTCAGAGAAATCAGGTCCCACTGCATCCCAGCTTTCCTTCAATGATGTATCTTAAGTTTTTTCTTCTCATGGCCCCTTCTTGGGACTCAGCTGGCTATGTGGGGTTGCAGCAAACCTCCAATACTAAACAAAGTAAAAAATGAAAACAACAAGCTCCAACTACTGAACCTAGTAAATTAACCAAACCGACTCTTGGCCTTTACACTAGTGTCTGTACTACTAACCACCTTGAAGTAAACACTTAGAAAATTTCTTTTATAAATCTCAGTAATAGAAATGCTCATTTTTTTTCCAAAAAAGACACAGGTAGATCATGTCTAAAGTACTAGTTATATTTTTAGTGAGGAGAGACAAATTAGAACTAGAAAACACACATTAAGATTTAAAACTTAATGAATGGCTTAGATTTACTCCTTAAAAAAATGTCTAACATTTTTCAAATTTCTATTTTTATACTACCAAAACCTTATTAAGATATCTTTATCTTCTAAGAGAGATGAACTGTAATTATTAGAGATCAGTAAACTCAATCTGTCAAGATAGTTTGACAGGCTGTTTAATTATTTACTCACAAATATTCATCATATACCATAAATAATGGAAATATTTATATTGCATTTTTATAGCTCCCGATTTCTTAGCAGACCTTTAGTAAGTCATTTTTGAAAATTCACATTAGTTTTTCAAATACTGTAATTTAAAATACAGAATACGATAATACATTTTATAAATTCAAGACATATTATCAACATTAAACAGCACTGCCTTAATAATGAAGATAATTAGGGATGTGGAGCTGAAAACTAAACCTGCCAGTTCCTTCTGCTTTGTTCTGTTACCACCCCCACCGGAAATCTGATCATTACCATCTCCTAACTAGTTCTTACTTCCTCAGAGAAGCTTCTTCTAACTAATGCATCTGGGTTAGTTTATCACACTAGATTTTTACAACACTCTTTATTAGCTTTCATTTCTTCCTAGGCTGAGTTCTGTTTAAAAAAAAAAGGGACCAATGCTATCTTATTCATGTACATCCTCAGTGTCATGGTGTCTGTCATACAACAGCTACACACGTCATTAAATGGGTAAGGAAAAATTTGAAGTACATTTAAAATAAATCCAAACAAACCTTATTATCACTCAGGTGTGGTCTACTGCAATGCAGTTTTTTTTTTTTTTTTTTTTTTTTTTGGTCTTTTTCGTTTTTATCGGTACCAGGGATCAAACTCACAACTGCCTGCTTGCAAGGCAGGCACTTATGCCCGCTGAGCTAAATCCCCAGCCCCTGCAATGCAGTTTTGACCATCTTACCAAGAGAACAATGTCAACCAGTTTTCTGAGACTGCTTGGAGAATTAAGAGCGTATTTCAGTGATTTTATTTATTCTAAGGAAATGATGACTGGTAATTATATAGAAATGGCATTCCTGTGGCATGATTCACTGTCAAGAAAATCATAAACTTCTACTTTATTGTATATTTTTAAATAGAAATTTATACATAATAAATATACAGAGGTCTCTCTAGCTCCATTAGCTCCATTTAAGAGCTATACCTCTTCTTTTGCTGTCAACTACACTAAATACTTAAAACTTAACTTCATTTTAAATTCAATTTGAAAATAACTTTAAAAATCCCATGCAGTAGCACAGAAAATAAAAATCTGAAAAATACGTCAACTACTTTACTTAATTCAGCAAATTATTTTTGCATCTAGAAAAGAATGTACCTCACAATTTATAACTGCAATATACACATCATTTGGTGAACACGAAGTGATTTTTCTCCCACTTCATCTCCCACTTCATTTCAAATTAATACAGGAAAAACAACCATTGCTATTACGAGAGATTATCAGTGAATTTCCCAAATGACTTTTCAATTTTAACTGCATTTATAAGTATAAATAGCTCTGAGCAGTAATTTGTTTCCTAAGCAGCTTTTAAAGGGGAATGAAGTTAAATGCAATTATATGATGAATCGATACTTTTGAGCTGGGAGTGTAAAACATTTCAAGACCAGTTCAAAGACTGCACTATGATTTCCTTGCTAATAAAAAATTTAAAGTCAGTATAATTGACATTCTAATTTTAATGAAAACTTCCTTGAAACATGGCTCAAAGATGTTCACACCACTTTTTCCAGTGATGAGGTCATTATATTAGAGAACCAAAACCTTAATTGGCAACCACATATTGCTGGTTTTTAAAAAAAAAAAATGTTTCTTTTTGGATAGAGTATATTTTAGAAATGTCTGCATTTCTATATAAATTGGTATTTTAAAATCTAAGTGGCTCTTATTCAACAATGTTCTTTTATCTTTTCCCACATTTATCTTAGATTTTTACTATATACCATTCTAAAACATTTTGTAAGTCTTCCCACTAACCCATCTGGCATGATGTCCTTACATTTCTATTCTTTTTATGTATGCATGTGGTGGGAAGGATTAAACCCAGACGGTCTTACACATGCTAAACAAGTGCTCCAATGCTGAGGTATATAGTCCCAGTCCTACCACATACCTATTCTCGAAGATAAATTGTTTCATGAAAGCCTGGTTAAATCTACAGAAGAGCAAAAGCTACTCGAAAGGAGACTTTTATCTCTAGTTAGCTACTGGTAACCTCTTTTAAAACTGATATTATTTCTATCTTATATTTAATCTGGCCTAGTTAACAATACATTTTTCCACTAACAAAGATGGTATTCCAAACAGCACTGAAAAAAATAAAAGCCATAAATAACAAACCACCTATAGCCAGGTGTGGTGGTGCACACCTATAATCCCAGCGCTTGAGAAGGTAATAAAGGAAGATCCTTGTGAGTTCAAGGCCACCCTGGGCTACACAGTGAGAGCCTGTCTCAAAAAACAAAAAACAAAAAAACAAAAAACAAAAAACAAAAAAAACAAAAAAACCCACAAAAAACAAAAAACTACCACATATCCCCTTATCTTCTGCTTTTACTTGTAACCTCTAGAAAGGAGATCTTGTTTGTGATTTCATGGTAATAAAATAAGCTGTCTTCTTCTTCTGGTTTACCATCTGGTAATGTCAAATACGTCTGTCTACACTTACGTTGCATAGTTTCATACTTACACACTAGGATCATATCATCTGACTGGCTTACATGTATTTTATTATTGCCAACTAGTTGTTTTTAATTTGATTACATATTCCATTTTCCAGTCAAAGAAAATAGTTCAAATACTCTGTTGTCCCATAGGTACAGCAAGCAGACAATCAGTAGTTGAACATAAGTTGTAATACATGTGTATCATATCAGTGAGAGGTTGGTAAGCAGCTCAAACTTCCAGCAGGACTAGAGAACAGGCAGTATAGATTTTCCAAGTGGTGAAAATCTTTCTTAATGTTTAAGTAAAACAAGAAAATTTAGTTTGGATTTGAGTTTCAGGTTTCTAACATGCTGCAAAAAAATATTAATAATACTGCCTTCAAATTATTATTCATGTCATACTTCTTTAATTTTTTTTAAATGAAGGCTTATATTTTTTCAGCTTAAATAACCTCCCAAAATTTAAAGTGTGTTTCTTTTTGTGATGATCATAAACTGGGCTGCTAAGAAAGGGGATATAAGCACCTGTGTATGTACGTCTTATCTATATTAATTAGTAATATTGTGCTTCTTTAAGCAAGTGTTAACTGTAAAACTGGGAGGATAGCTAAACCATAGCGAAGACCAACAAGACAGAGAGGCAACTTCCCTGTTTTTGAGGACTACATAACAATTTCTGAAAAAAAAGAAGAAAAAGCCTGATCAGGAGAGATGATGCACCCACAGCTTGAAGGCTGTATCCATATCATAGATAAGTTTTGTTTGGCCTCCAAATGTCTTACGGAGAAAAAAGATTTTTTACATAATCCTCAATTCTTAGATTTCTTTTAAAAACACAGTAAGATTTGGCAGCAAGTCTTGAGGAGTGGCTTCTATATGAAAATAGCACATCTCCCTCAATCAAAACAGCTGGTATTACTCCCTTAATGAAAGCACATGTACCTGTGGCTTCCCAGGCCTGGAAGGTAACTGTGCACTACATCCTGACCACACACTGACACAGGTCTCAAGTGCTGCAAGGTAAATACTCAGTGTCTCACTGCTGCTTTGACATCCAACTTAACTAGATTACTATGCATTTGATCAGCAAGCAGTGGTCAAGTCAAAGAAAAGCTATTACCATCTTAT